ATTACTTGAACAAGAGGTAGATAATTATAACTTTACCTTAAAACAACTAAAAGATAAACATGTAAGATTACAGCTCAAATTACCTGAAAGTTATAATAAAATAATTAATGCATTAAAAAGTAAAAATGCAAATTTCCATATATACCAGCTTAAAAGTGATATATAAAGTAATTCTCCAAGGATTTCACCAGAAAATAAATACAAATAAAATCATTAGTGAGCTAAAACAGCACAACCACACTATTAAAATTATAAAGAATATATCTAAATTTGACACCAAGCAATTATTACCGCTATTTGCTACTGAATTTGAACCAAAGAATAACAACAAATACGTATATACATCAAAAAGCCATTAAATACAATAAGTTTGAATTGCCGAAACCGCAGTGCTTTTGCTGTCAATCGTATGGCCACATAAAAACCTAACAAACGACCGATTTGTGTCAAAAGCGCTGGAGGTCATTAAACAACACAGTGTCTGTAACTAGGCAAGATAAAAAATGTGAAATGCTATAATTGCAAAGGAAATCATCCTGTAAACTATAAAAGTTGCATAATTCGTTTATACGTTAATTCGTTTATATAACAATTACAGCAAAAATTATTTCTTGCATTAAAAAAAAGAATAATGCAACCATCAACAGAGCACGCACCATCAAATATCAGTTTTACCAAGAATAACTTCATTTAACCATGATTGCTTCTTGAACAGTTAACAGAAGTTGTGCACAAATTACAGCTGAAAACAGAATGATTTCTCACATACCACTAAACTCAAATTTAGATACTCATTCAAACAACTTCATGAGGGAAGAAAATACAATAAAACAATTATTAATCCAATCGATCAAAAACGCAGAATTTTTAACTAATATGATAGTAATATAAACCACACTGCTATCACAGAATCAACAACAAGTCAATAACTACCATGATACAGGTATTAATACAACTCGTTAAAAACCAGTCATAATGGAAAGTGCAATCAAAATAGCAATATGGAACAATAATGAGCAATAATAAAGACTTTAGAACTGATAGTTTTCATTTACAAATATAATATAGACATTATGGTGATCTCAGGAATTCATTTTATAAATAAAAATTATGCAAAAATTACATTATATCATCTACGATACTAAACACCTATCAAGAAAATCACACAGAGGATCCACCACAATAATATGAAACAACATTAAACACCATCTATACAGTGAAACTACACATGATTATTTCCAAGCTACAACGTTGTGCAATAGAAACTTCAAATGAACATATAGAAATGTCAGTAACTTATTTCTCACCAAAACACAAGCTCAAGCTAGGACAGTATGAAAACTTTTTCCAAACCCTAGGAAACAAATTCATGAGTAGACTACAATACGAAACACAGATTATGGAGATCAAAAAGAACGATATCAAGAGAGAGAACTCTAATGTTAGTCACAGAAAAATTATCGCTAACCCGGCTATCAACCGATGTATTGGCCTGCAGCAGTCGAGAAAACACTGGATCTGATAAACTTCGCTGTAATCAAAAGTCTAAATAAGACACACTTCTAGTTATCAACAAGCCTGGACTCTGATCATACACCTATATATTTATAAAATTATAAATTATCTGCAAAAATCTATCGAAATACAGCCTGCTCCTATTCAATAACACAACAGACTGAGAAAAATTTAGGCTACTAATTAATCAAAACTTGAATTGCAATATCCTTTTAAAAACACCTGGACATATTGAGAATGTAGTTGATTATCTAACTCGAACGATTGAAAAAGCAGCCTAGTCATCCACAATTAAAACTAACAAGAATACCAATAGCTTATGGTATCCAACACATTACAAAAGATAAAGCAAAAAAGTAAAACGAAAACACAATGGCAGAAATACAAAACAACTGAATTTAAACGACAGCTAAATATATTCAACAAGGAAACTAAAATAGTTTATCTACGAATATTGCAACAAAGAAATGGAAAAATATTTATCGAATCTCTCACTATGATGATACAAATTACATACTAAGGAAAACAATAGAAAGAATAAAAAGACCTATAACTCCAACTCCAGCAAATAAAAATACCAGACAACTCTTGGGCTAAAACTTCCATAGAGCAAGTTATGACGTTTGCAGAATATCTTAGACAAACTTTCCAGCAAAATGTTGTGCCAGAAGAAACTATAATAATTAATAACTACACTGAAGCTGAAGAACAAAATAACACAGAACGCAAAAACATCAAATCGGAAATAAAAACACTAATGTCAACAATCAAAAGAAATAAATCCGCGAGTTTCGATCACAGGAAAAATAATTAAAGAAATACGAGACAAAGCTATTAGATTCATAACAACATTTTCTGATGCTACATTCGGAATCCAACACTTTCCAAGCATATGGAAGCTGCCTGAAATTATAATTCTGCCAAAACCAGACAAAAATATTCATGAACCTTCTTCATACAGACCTATCTATCTAGTTATTACCAATGCTTTCGAAAATGGAAGAAAAAATATTCCCAGTTAGAATTAAAGAGATGATGAATAGTAAACAAGTAATTCCTGATTGTCAGTTTGGATTCAGAGATAAACATGGTACAATCAAGCAGGTACACAGTTTAACTAATTAAATTGTCCATGTTCTGGAAGATAAACACTGCATATATCTATTCCTCGATATAGAGAAAATCTGGCATGAAGGATTATTGAGATTATTAAAAAACACTTTCTTGGCGTATTCTACGAGCCATCATACTCCTATCTTACAAAGAGAACATTTTATGTAAAAATAAAATTCGTTTTCTACAATACACAAATGCAGAAGTGCTCAAGAAAGCGAGCTTAAAGGACCTGTGCTTTACACCTTACTGCAAATATTTCAATAATATCCAATAATACAATATACACATACGATCGCAGATGATACTGCAATATTTGCAGCACACAAAAACCCAGCTGAAGTTTAAATCTTACAAAATCATATTAAAAAAAAAAAAAAAAATAGAAAAATAGCTTTTGGAGAAGAAAATAAAGATCAACTATAACAAATGCAAGCACATAACCATTACGCTATGAAGAGGAGAAATCCCGCAAATTACACTGCATGGCAACGCTGTCCCACAAACAAAAGTAGTCAAATATCTTGGACTATACCTAGATTCAAAACTAATATAGAAACAACACATAAGCAAAAAAATATAACAAGTCGGAAACAAAAGTATAGATAACAAATTATTGATATATAAAGTTATAGTAAAATTATATGGACATATGGCATTCAGCTCTGAGGAATGGCTGCTTAAAAGTCATATCACAAAGATAGAAGCTACGAAATCAATAATACTTAGAACAATAGTTTTTTTTTTATTTATGCAATAGAATCTACAGGGTTATTAGCAGCATGCACATTGCTGTGCATACTAACAGTACAGAAATAATTTCGGAGACTTTTGTACAAGGATTACATAGATATACAACTAAAATACATGTTTACTATTTACATACTTATAACTAGAACTTATTAAAACTAAAAAAACTGTTAAGTCACTGAAAAATACAACTATGCACTCGACATGGATACGTTACAGATGCCAACCATGGCTTTTGAGAAATTTGTGAATAATCACAGAAGAGTAATATATGGTTTGCTTAAAAAGTCCATTGTGTATGGAGGGAAATAACCCATTCCACATAATTTATTTATTAAGATATTCCTATTGTCGTTCAGAATGGGGCATTGCCAAATTATATGGTTGAGATCTTGAACTACACTACCACACTGACATTTTGTGTCAAGAGCCAAGTTCATTTTGAAGAGGGAAGCAGCTAATTGCATGTTATCTGCTCGGAATCTGTTCGTCCAACAAATAAAGTCGCTAGGAAGTTTTCTACGTTAAAACCATGGTTTAGCAGAAGAATGGTAATAGCTTTTGAAAAATTTTGTACCCTTAAATTCAGATTCCGAAATAATCTGTCGTTCTCTTTCAGTCTTAGCCTGTTTTTTAAAGCTATTGGGAAAATCAGAGAATGGAATCATTATATAATGGCGAGACATTAGTACATGACGCTTCTTTAGATAAGCTGTCCGCTTTTTCGTTAAAAGTTATTCCAATATGAAAGGGGAAGTATAGATTCTTATTGGCTGAAGAATAGAGAATAGAGAATAAGCCTTCGAATATCGAGAATAAATGGGTTAATTTTGATAGTGACTGAGCTCTTAATTAAGGCTTGCAGGGCTGATAAACTGTCAGAATATATAAAAACGTTGTCATGTGAGGACTCAAGGGCCATTCTGATAGCATTTTTTAATGCAATACATTCAGCTGAGAAGATAGAGAAATAATTATGTAAGCTCAACAGTGAGAAGGTATTTAAGTCCGGTGAGTAGTAGACTGCTCCTATTCTATCAGACTCCTCATCCTTACTGCCATCAGTAAAATAGGAGATGGAGTTAGGGGGTCTGTTACATAGGTGAGCAAGGAACATGGAGTTAGGTCCACAGCATCTTTGAGGAGATAATCCAGTTCGGTTTCAAGGGATATTGTTGTAAAGAGTAAATTGTATTCATGTAAAAAGGGAGAATAGTCTTTTCCATTTTAAACAATTGTCTTTCATTTACCAGAGTATCGATTTGACTAGGAAGAATGTTGTGAGATTTAAGCACTAGATTACTCCAAATAGAGGAGTTGTGGAATCGGTTAACCCAGTTATACAAAGTTGTTCCGCTGTTGGAGAGATTTTTCATTATAAATCGATTACATACATATTTGGCTCTGTGCTGCAGCATGCACAATCTGGATTCATCCAATATAATATTAGTGGGAGTGCTACTACGGTATCCTAGAGCAATTCTTAGAGCTGCGTATTGAATTCTCTCCAGCTTTATTATTAGGTTTTTAGTTTTAGAAACGAAAACAAAGAAACTGTAATCGATATGAGAATAAGGTTTTTTTGTATAAAGAAATGAGTGTGGAAAATTCAGCTCCCCATTTTATGCCACTAATAAATTTAAGAATGTTTAGTTTTTTTGAACATTTATTGCGAACGTAATCAATGTGCACATTGAATTTAAGTCGATAGTCGAAAAATATTCCTAAAAATTGAACATAGTTCCTAGATCTGATGGAGTGATTATCAATTTTAATCGAGCATGTACCTGGTCGGATCTCTTTTTGGTTGAAGTGAATTAGGATAGTCTTTTCAAGTGCTAAAGATAAACCAAGGTGGTCAAAATTGGCACCTAAGATGGTGATAGTTTTTTCTAAAGTTCTTTTACTTTTGCTAGGTATTGTAACTGGACAGTAAATAGCTATGTCATTCGCAAACTGTGAAATTTGGATAAAAGGATTTAGGCTGACTATAATATCATTCACGTAAATAAGATATAGGAGAGGGCTGAGGACTCCACCTTGGGACAAGCCCTTAAATACTTTTCTTATGAAAATGTAGGAGTCGTTAACAACAAACGTGACATTACGTTCGTGCGTTAGAAAGTTTACGAGATTAACAATGTTATGAGGGCATTCCATAGTACTGAATTTTTTCATTAGAATATCACTGTTAACATTATCAAACGCTCCTTTGACAAGAAAGCAAGCCAGTACGTCTTTGCCCATTGAAAAGGCCTCCTTCACGGACATAGTCAGCATTGTAAGGTTGTCAGCGCAAGATCTTCCTGGTCGAAAACTAGCCTGAGAAGAGGGGAAAAGGTCAGAAGTTTTTGGCCACCATTGAAGCCTTGACTTAATCATTTTTTCCAATATTTTACAGAGACAAGATGTTAACGAGATTGGTCGGATCCATCCTCCATTACCATCCTTCTTATTAATGAAAAACGTAAGACTTTCTTTCCACGCTGGAGAATATATACTGAGCGAATAGATCTCGTTGAATAGATCAAGTATTATCAGTTTGGTTGAGAGAGGCAGTTTGACAATTAAAATGTATTCAATTCTGTCAAGGCCTGGGGAAGCCTTCAGGTAAATTCATGGCTAAATTCGGCTAAATTCATGAAAGCCAAAAGGCGAATTGAGAAACTGGTTATTTTCATTAGCGTATAATTCTGGAAAGGCGAAAGTTGGAACCCAAGGAGGATTGAGTTTGTTAATTGCATCTTTTAGTTAATCGATCTGAGTAGCTTTCATTGAATTTAACACTGGCCCATTTATTTTTCAGGATCCTGCATATCTTCCAAACATATGTCACATCGGTTTCAAAGTAAATGCTTTCTGCGAATTTTCTGAAATTGTCAACATTTCTTTATATACTTTTTCGCAGAAGCTACGCGTTTCTTATATTCTATAAAATCAGCTATGTTGCGTGAGTATCTCCACTTTTTAAGTGCAGATTTTCTAAGACATATGAGCTTAGTACATTCCACCATGGAACTGGGTTCCTGTGCTATCTGATATTAGAGGTTTTTGGAGAAGGGGTTTGAAATGAACATTTCAAAAAAAATTGTATTTTCCGATGGTATCGAGTGAACTGAATGAAGGGTCTGGAAATTTCGAATGTGATTGTTTCATCAAGGTGTGATTGAATCCAGTTTTTTTGAAGGTAAATCCTCATTGTTTTTGGATGTAAAGTGTTTTATCGGCCAGAAGATTTACAATTATAGGAAAATGGTCTGATTCCCAGAAATCCTTAAAAATATTGAATTTAATTAAATCATAAATGGCTGGTGAGCAAAGAACTAGATCTATATTAGATAAACTATTTCGGTTAAAGTCAATGTGAGTAAGTGTGTTTGGATTAACTAGAATTAAATCAGAATCGTTTATCGAGTTTAGGAGTTTGATTCCGTTGGTATCTATATTGGAGCAGTTTCATGAAGTGTGACGGGAACTGAAATCGCTGAAGATGATACGGGGATCATGCATACTTAGAGAGGAAAAAAACTGGTTCCATTCTATTTGTGAGACCGAGCGTCCAAGAATCCTTAGCAGGCAGCTAAGTTTAAGGTGGAATTTAAGTAATGTATTTTGACTCCTTTTCAGGTTGTCCGTAATACCACACAGATCTTGAATGGGTGTAAATTTTAGACTTTTTTTTACCAAAAATATAATACCACCACCAGGTCTGTGAATTCTGTCAATTCTGTATGTGTGAAAACCGGAGAAATCAAATTTTTTATGATTTTTAAAATTAGTTTCTACGCCTATAAATACATCGACTTCTTCTAAGCGTTTTTGTAGTTTCTCTCTACGACTGCAAATTCCTCTGCAGTTCCAGTATAGCAACTTCAGCCCAGTACTAGAGCAAAGGTGACGGCAATTTGAATTCATGGAAAAGTTAATTAAGAATGGACTGATAGATTGATCGAAGCGTCGTCCTCTGATAAAATGGAGAAGTCGGAGTCCGAGTCTAGATCCTGCGATGAGAAAGATCCGTCTCCACAGTCCTTATCTTCGGTCCAGCTGCCATGAAGTTCAAATTTTTTAATAATACGTGAAATTATATTTTTAATCAATCTGTTTGACAAGCTGGGATAGGTTTCCCGCAGCATTTTAATTAACGAAGAAAGGTTGTTAGTGTAGGATTGTGCCAACTGAACAATGTCCGGATTGCCTTTGGCTTTAATTAGCAGTTCTTTATACTGTTCGAATTTTATAATATATATGTCCGGATTTTTAATAAAAATCTGTTTAATCAAAGTTTGGTTCAAGTGCCAAATCAATAGTTTTTGAGTCAACCTGATCAACCTTAGTTCCATCTTTCTTCTGCTTTTTGAGCGGAGTAATAGCCTAGGGGCCACAAAAGGAGAGGTCTCCCTGTTTGAGGGGAAGTTTGCATTGTGGTGGGGGTTACATTTTTATCCATTGTCGTGGGGTCAGCAGGCGAGGAACTACTGTTAGAGCTTGTAGAGAGTGGTCTCTTATTGGAAATTTTGTTTCGAATGGGGCCTTTATACTCCTCATTTAGAGACTATTGCTTTTCAATAATCAAAGGAGGAAATGATTCCGCCTTGTTTGTATTTCTCACTTTGGTAGATAATGAAGAGCTCTTAATTTGTTGTTGTGGTTTATTATTAGAGTTAGGACAATGTTTCGCCAGATGTCCTTCCCTCTTACATTGGGAACACTTTAAGTTGTCCGTTGAGATGAAGATCCAGTAAGAGGTTTCATCATAGTTTACTTGTAGACTCTCCGGAAATTTGTTTACATCGTCCGGATGAATATATACTTGTCTGCGAAAGCTGAGTATGTGTGTGAATCGTCCTTCTGTGAATCCTACTTTTATGAAGGAGATAGGAGAAACGATTCTAATTCCCATTTGCTTGAATGCATTTAGTATAACATTGTGAGGAATAATAGGACAGTTAGAGAGAATAATTCGCTTGGCTTTCATAATTAGCGGTTTAACAGAAATCAATCGGTGAGCATGTTTGAATTACCGGACGCAAGTTTGTCAACACATGTTTTGCATACATACTCTATTATTCGCAATTCTTGAAGCAAATCGAATATTAGTTGGGTTCAGAGCCTTCCTAACTCCCAAAATATAATCTTTTATGGTAATATCTTCGTATGCATTGAGTACAATAGCATGTTCCTTCGTGGGGAAATTTTCTTTCTAAACCACACTCGCGTATGTAGATTCTGGAGAAGCCATATTTTGAGGTGCGTTTACTTTATCCATTGTTTTAAAAAAAAATTCCTCTACACTGGAATTTATCTTTCGAATAAAAAATATGTAGAAATGTACGTTTGCCGCACCCAATCGAGTTGGGATGCGACAAAGACAAACACGAAATCACAGCAGTTAGCACTACGTATAGTCAGCACACGCGGAACAAAACACGTCCTACCTTCTTGCGTGTCAATACAGGACTGAAGAACAATACACTCTGTTATATCAAGGATGAAGATTTGCGCAAGAACTTACAAATTCCCTTCGTGTGGGAAGAAATCCAACGAAGATCTAATAGACATAAAACAAGAATAGAAAATCATCCAAACCTCTTAGCTGATACCCTGTGCATACATGCATAACACGAAAAAAAGACTAAAGTTAAATCGTAGTATCCACAGAACCTTGTAACGCAATCATAAATATAATTACACATTAGTGAAACTGCAATAATGTTTCTCCAGTAGAAGTTCACATTAGTATTCACGTGCAACCATTAAAATCGATATAATAACCTGTCGAATATCCACTAGGACAAATTGCAAGACTACTAGGAGTTTAAAAAATATTTACTAATATAGGGATGCGTTCCTCTTGCCATGATCCTATTGCCAGGATCAATAAACGTAATGTGAGAGATCCATCGCCGGGACGCAGTACTCATAAAGTAATTGCAGCACTTACTTTACAAGACTGATCTTTGCCAATTGCCGAAAACGATTTACCTTCCCAATCACGTGAACGGGAAGGATACGAAGAGAGTTGAAGTGATCTTATATAAGGGTCGACTCTAACGCACTGCTGACAGAAGCAAACAGGAGTCCGGTCATGGCAGTGATGTTCCAAAGTGCATACGCACCTCTTTATCATGTGCACATAGCGAAGTGAGTTTGACTCGCGTACTGTACGTACCGCAATTAAAAATCAATTCAGAGTGCATAAATCCACTGCGTGCCTACAGAAAAAATAAATTCATGGGCTCCAACAAAAAGAAAGTACGCAGAAGAACCTAGCATCCCTATCACAACTAGGAGACGGTCCTCATCGTTATTAGAATACACAGCTCAACCAGAATCAAGGCAGGTATCTAAATCATAAATCTAGCAACACACAAAACAGATTCAGCACATTTGCTGACTATTTTATCGAAGGACATGGAGAAAAAACATCAGGAAATCACCATCACTAACATCTAACCCAAACATGACGTACAAAAATTTCTAGACAACTAAACCTGCACCATTATACATCCATGATAAAGTCAACCACGAAAAAAATTACTAGAAACGTGCTTAGAAACAAATACCAAAACGCGTTTCAAATCAAACAGTGACGTACTAAAGATAATGTTCAACAAAGTCAGTAACTTCAAAGAGTTCAAAATCTTATGCCATAAAAAAAAATCATTGAAAATCATACATACACGATCAATTCCGAAAACCATAACCATTGTACTCAAAGGTTTAATATATTTATCTGTATCCAGAATATGTGAAAGCATAAAAAACCAAGGACTAAATCCAATTTACTGCGCCGAAATTGTCAATATTCCCTATCAACATACGTGACAAACTATAGACGATCTACCATCCAGATACTTCCAGGTTACGCTATTGCTGCAAGAGATACTACAACCATGCACGACAAAACTGACCGACTGGAACATATGTACCAAACATTGTAACGAACTAAAGATAAATTCGTACCTTCAAATCACGACTGACATAAGATACAGAAATAAGGGCTCTCAGCCACCAAATTCAAACAGCATTTCACAATATTATCTGCGACGCATCATCACTAGATCATCACACCACTACAGACATAGAAGAATACACCAAAGGATTGGTAACCCCACATATAAGCTCTACAAAAACTTACTTTCTAACTCCATAAAGAAAAGAATAACAGAAACTAGAAACAAACTATTCACCATACACAAAATGGATCATATTCTCTGGCATACCTACAAGATTACAGGAGGAACAAAAAACCTATTAATCTTCCAAGATCCCAACCTTCTGCAATGCAACCTTCTACATAGACGAAGAAAAACCCAAAAACTTAGCCCAAAGCTTTTTCGAGATCTACATCAAAGCCCTGAAACAATATTCCCCCATAG